ATAGTTGGCTTTTGGCAAATAATGCACGGCACTGAGCTGAAGCAGCCAGCTTAGCTGTGTTTAGGCATTTCTACCATGGCTGTTGCAGTTTTTACGCCATGCCTGGGGTACCATCTACACAGCCAGGGAAAAGAGGTTTCACCAAGTTGGAGCTGGATGAACCCAGCCCCACGCCACCCTACCACTGGGCACCTTCGTTTCGACATGGCCCGCTGGGAAGCGTCAACAGAAACTCCTGTGCAGTGAGCAGGAAACACTTGAAAAATCCATGCAGCAATGACAAAAATAGCTATTTCCAGATAGCACTGCTGCCTGCTCCAGCTGGCCTGGCCAGCCAGCGTGGCAGCCAAGGGATGGGCAGACCCAGGCGTCAGAGCAGGCTGCTGCTGCTGGGTCTGTCACCGCGGTCCTGCCCCGGGCTGTCTCAGAGGCTCCTGCCTCTCTGTGCAAAGACTTTCAGTTTTGGAAAAATCAAACCTCCAACAAAAGTCACATTAGCTTTGTGCGGCTGAGGGCAGGAGCAGACCAGCACAAGGGAGGAAGGGGCACCACAGCCATCCATGCACTGACCACTACCTCCATCGAAGTGCTTACATTGTTCCTTCTCTGTTTAAAGAACACATATGAACTTAATAAATGACTTTAAGAACCCTAAATGTAAGGTGAATTCTCTCAGAATAGCAAAATTACATATTTTTACTTATCTTTATTTACTAAATGAGCAAGACTTCCAACTTCTGCCTTGAACCAAAGCATTCCCTCGTGTACATTTGATTTCCCAACTAGATCATGTTTGCTACAAGCTTAGCCTAGCTGGCATGTTTGAAAATTGCCATGACACCCTTCTAGGACAAAGTATAGCTGGTGAAAACGCACTATTTGCTTGAATAATTCTAACGTCTGGTTTGTCATCTCTGTAAATTAACTAACGACCTTAAACAAACAAGCAAACTTTTTCCATTTACGAAACGCTAGCACTTCTGTATCACAAATTTCTTCTTTATCGCAAGTTTTGAAAAATAGAATTTAAAATCTTATGTCATAAAAATTTGCTTTATGATATACTCTTTTGAGGGTACTAGATTTATTCTCATAAACAGAACACAAGCAATAATTACATCTTTCATTGCCTTTTTTATAGCCTTATCTCACATTCTAAGCTACACACGAAGAAAACAATTTCCCAAGGGAATTAGTTTTCTTTTAGACGAGGATCTCTGAAAATTGGTATCACTATTCCAAACACCAATCCCTATTCTTAAAATCCTAATGCAAATGACAGGCAGCAGTAATCAAAATCACTAAAGAGGTCCCTCTGGGTCTTCCAGCACATGACCTTGTTTCCATAATCAGAGTTCCAGTATCCCATTTAGGGCTGCAGAAGGTTTCTTGACAACCTGCAGCAGCACCTCCTTCAAATTTTATATTGCCACATGCTGGAAAGGAACATCTAGCAAACAAAGGCATGCTGTAGGGTGTCATTCTGTACTCTGCAAATATCTACAGTCAACATAAACACGCATGCAATATATCCACCGATACAACAGCCATAATACACCCGCTTGCCTTTCTCTGAAATCCTTCTAGCTGGGAGCAGGAAATAAGAGTAAAGAAAGCAGAAAAACAGCTAGGATGAAAAATAACTGGCAGCACAAACGTGAGCAAAAATTATCAGGTGAAAAAGAGATATAAAAAAAGGTAGGAGTAAAGAGACCTGCAAACACACCACCACCCCCAAACAAAACCCTGCTACTTTAATCAGAACCACCTAAGTAACAGGGTTTCAGCCACAAACTGAAAATGGCAGAATTGTTTTCAGGATAACAAATATCTTTAATAGTGAGGCAGAGACAGCCAAGGTATTATAATACATCTAATCTCCAAAAGTAATTCGAAATTTTATTTATTTATTTTAAATTTTATTTTTCTTTTATTATTCAGAGAGGCATGGAAGTTAATTGTCTCTGTGCCACCACCAGCACATCTTAGAGCTTGCAGAAACTTTAGTACAGGAAAGACTCATGTTAATGAGTTCATCTCTCACATTTAAAATGAACTTCCTTTTCACACTATCAGTCAAAGAGGCACCATTATTCCAGCTACCAAATCATTAACGATACTACTGTACTCACCAGCTGAAATACCATTGACAATCATTCTCATACAAGTTTAGTTGTAGCTTGGCAAATGCTGGCAAAGCAACTTTTGTAGCATGTTTATGCAACTTCAGCCACTTCAAATCCATAAAAACTTCTTAAAGACACCAGTTGCAAGGGGCTGGTGCATATTTTACCTTCCTCTATTGCCAAAAGTAAGTACTTTCCACTGAAACAAATTACAGGTTGCAAGTCTATAAATAGATAAATTTAAGCAACGACAGTTATAAAACCAGAACAAAGAAACTCACTCTGCACTACAGATGGTGGCACTGAGATCAAATCCTGCTACCTAGCTGTTCACGGTCCCCTGAGCTCTCAGAAGTACGTGAGACCAATCCACGCTTACACGTTGAGTAGGGAGCTCGGAGAGCTTGAACTCCGCTCAGACCCCTCCTTCCCACTCCTGGAAATGCTTAAATTTGCCAGGTACTGGAAGGTGACCTATTCGATTTTCAACAGCTGAAGGAGCAATACCCTTTAGAGTTCACTAGGGAGAGCGACAGGGTTGTGCAGCACAAACCCTACGCTTTCCTTTACGTTTGCAAGGCAAAGCACCCTAACCAGAATCCAAGCCAGGGGAGCGCAGCTTTACAGAGGCACTGAACACATTTAACTTGAAATTATTTCAGCTAGATTCCGCCCGTCCCCCTCCCCAAGAGCGATGGGTGCTGAATATTAATAAAGAGATCGCTCACATAAAACTATATTTAACTGCATGCTACCTTTTGGAGTATCACACAAGTAACACTGGTTGTAGCCTGCATGTTGGAACAAAGGACATATGCAAGGAAATACTTTTTTACTCCAACAGTATGAAATCATGGATCTAAGGCTCATCCTTAAAATACTACATTTGCCTAAATTCAGAATAGCCTGGTAATTTCTTAGGATGACCTTTTTCCTCAGTCCACAGAGACCTGTGGATTTGAAAATACATGGCTATATTTTTTTAAAAGATGTAATGAACAAACTGTATGTTTCAATAGATTTTCTTAATGTCACCGCACAATATCAATCCTCCTCCTCCCTTTTGCAAATCTTTTTTCTCTGTATAATGAAACATTCTTCCAAGTATCAGTGGATAAAAAAAAGCTTTTGGACAGTGATGTTGAAATAGAGCAGCGCTGAGACAGGACATTTAAAGAATCATAACACAGAATATCATTCTGGCTCAAAAAAAACCCCAAACCTAAACAACTGATCACCTATTTCTATGAAGGAGAAAAAGCACCAAATGCTATAGCTCTCAACGCGAGAGGCAAGCTCTGAAGATGCGAGCCAGATGCGCTGCCAGAGGAAGCCAGTGGCATACTCCGCGTCTGGTACCTGCATCGACACAGCATTCCCAGCCAACTCACTTTTCATCTAAGCTGCCTTTGGAGAAACTAGACACCATAAAAACCTCAGTCATCCTGTAACCTGGCACACCATCAAAGCCTCCTAACACACAATTACTGTGCTTCACGCCTTTAGACTTTTTTCCTTTGACTAAACAAAACCCCCACAATGGAATAAGAAACTTTCCAAGAGAAATTGTGTTTGACAGAAGATCAATGATGCAGAGGTGTTGGAGGGAAAAAAGCCAGCACTGTTTTGTGTACACCTCCAAGCTTATTAATGGCTTGCTGCTAAAGCTAGTTGCCCCTTTCCATCAGATCAGCATTTGATATTATTACTGAACTCGGAAGTCTGAGGTCTTCTTTAATCACATTAAGGAGTTTGCAATTGCTTACGCAATACAGTAACTTTACCATGCTGCCTGTAGTTATCCAGCCATTCCCCTAGGTTTTTGCCTTGTCGGCAGTAACACTAAGTGAAAACGCACTGAAATTTGACTCACCATGTCAAAAACACAAGCTACATATAAATATGAATAACCTACCAAGTAAGCACCCAGCTGCTGCTTTAATGCATTAGCACATGTATAGTTATGCACATGCCTAAAAGGAACTGCCATAAGCCTCCATAAAGAAACAAATAAGCTCTTGTGAGTAAAGAGAAAACCGTAAGCCAGCCCAGAAATCTGAATCCTGCTAGTCATCACTTTCAAGGCTCAAGCCAGCATGACAAAGCCTTTTCAAGAAAGGGTCCTGTGTCAGGGAGTGAATCTGAAGGAGACACACTTTATATTCACCTCTCAGGACACCATGGCTTTTTTAAGGAAGGAGGGGGTAGCAACAGATAATAATTGGCCAAAGGATTAAATAAATAAAATTAAACTTCTCTCAAGCCCCTTTCATCTACGTTTGTCTACATCTCCTTTTAAAACCTTTAAACAACTGCTCTGTGAACTGCTAAACTAGTGGAGTCCAGTGTCCCAGTATTCATCCCCTAAATCTTTTTATGTAGGTCCTATGCTATTTCACCTCTGGACAATTGACAGCGTGGACTGAGATCACTCCAGAGTTACAGATGCTGGTTAGCCAGCTTCTTGCATCTAAATGACACAGAATTGGTAAATTCTCTTCAGCTGTCCTTCCAAGATAACTGAAGCCAATCACCTTTAAATGGTTATCTTCCCTGTCAACATACTCAGCACATCAGGTAGCAGACTGATCAGAGGAGCTTCCTTCTCTACCTAACAGCAGCCTGGCCGTGTCCTCCCACCTGACATCTACCCTCCACCCTGATCCCCATCTCAATCGGTTGACAAGAAACTGAAACATATGGATCGTTCAAACCGGGCATTTTAAGCACTTCAGAAACAAGTTCTTCTGTGCAGATCAAAAGGGCACGGTGCACACCAGATGGTGCGCTGGTCTCCTTCCTCGCTACAGCACAAGAACTGCATGGAAAAGGACTGAGTCCTTCCAGTGGTACAGTACTGCAGAGGCAGCTCACCGTTCACTGCCTTGAGGCTCCCGCTGATGCCATCGCCGTGCTGCCGCTTCTGTGCGTTCTTGAACTCCTTCAGAGATAAATAAAGGACCTTCCGCACCACCCTCTCCTCTGACCAGGGAATCCCATCACTGTCATCCTGAAGGAGAAGGAAATGGAAAGGAGACATTAGCTGCATGCATCTGAAACAAAAGCAAACCAAACAAAACCCAACAGCCTAGGACTACACAGATTATTTGTAATTTAAAAAAAAAAAAAAAAAAAAAAGAGAGAGAGAGAAGCTTAAGAAAAATACTGTGTAGCAAAATGCAACCTAAACTCGACCAGCTATAACAGAGAACACAAACATAACTATTATCATCAAATCAGAGCATTAGCCCCTCTAATCCTTTATACTGCAAACAGCAGTAGCCATGTACCAGGTGTTAGACAGGAGGTGAAACTTATTTGTTAAAATCCTCATAATGAATCCCTTATGGAGAAATTTATCACAGCCAGGAAGTGCTCTCCCAGATAACTGAGAGGGGAAAAAAAACCATGCACTAAATTGAATGTTGCAGAAATTTAAGAGGTTAAGTTTTTGAATCAACTTCTCTTGTTGCCATTTTGGCCTTGTTTGTGCCTCTTGGCTCAGGATTTTTTTTTCTCTGGTTTAGTGATTTGCATTTATTGCAGTGTTACGATGAAGTTGTACATTTATAACAATGAAGTTATTCTGAATTTATCTCAGCGTTAAGCGAAGTGGAATTTGGCCCACGGGGCATATGTTTTCTACTTTATTTTTAGGAGACAAATGGTATATTGTCAAAAGGAATACTAGTGTATGTCATATTTAGTACTTGCTTTAGTTAAAAGATTAATTCCCTGGAAAAGCATTTCCCTAAGGCCTTTAGCATTCAAATAAATTAAGTCAGCAAATTGATATAAAGACATAAGTGAGATCAGGTAAGTCATCATATTTTCATAAGCCCTATAATTGTCCCAGGGTCTTTAAAAATCACTATTTCAGCATTCTTGCCCTTGAATACCTCAAGGGCTACATCACTGCCAAGCAAAAAGGTTAACATTTTAGGCTGGCTTTATTTAGCTAAGTCTACCACAGCACACTGCCACACTCCACTGGAAACCCCAAAAAGCCCCATCAGCGATCCATGCCAGGAGGCAAGACAATTTATACCATCTCCTGTGTCAAAGAAGTGACCAACACCATAAACTTCAAAAAAAAAAAAAGCATAGTTTCAGGTGACTATTGGTAGATTTTTCTTTGCTCCTCTAGTGAGATATTGGCATTCAGCTGCTGAACTGTGATCAAAAACATTTCCCCCCAAAAAAACCCTGTATGACAAATTACTTGGCCAAAAAAAAAAAAAAAAAAGGCTACACAATTAGTGCAGTGAAAGCAGCCGGCATTTTGGCAGCAGGATGTGCATTTCGCACAAGGGACAAGCTACTATACTTTGAACAAGGCTGAGCTATGCCCAGGGAGCTTTAGAGTGCAGGCAGCTCCTGGCCAAGAAAGCAAACTTTGTAACCCAACATCCACAGCAACCAAAAAAAAAAAAAAAAGTCTCCAGGCAAGCATTTTAAAAAGACTAGTACATCCAGTTATTTTGTCAACAGAGGTTTACACAAACAACTCCGGCTTACCATTTTGCTGCCAACACAACTTCAGCCCTAACCAGAAGCAACACTAAACACAAGAGGGCTGCAGCCTGCTTGATTTTAACAAAGCTTTCCCAAAGACACCCCATTTACGTCCCCACGACTGGTAGGTACGGAGAGGAAACCCAGACAGGAATCCCACCGACAAGGGCCTGGCGGGATGTCGCGCACTTCTGTTGTCACAGAACTACTTATTAAATCCCCAAGGGAATCATGCTCAGTTAGGAAATGGTTGTAAGCACCTCCAGCACCCATCCATACTACAGACACAGGCCTACAGACACCGCTCACTCTCTTCACCAGCATTTGTACAAATTCCTAATATAACGGGCAGCAAACGTGAGGAAGAGGACAAAGAGCCCTCTGGCCAGGCACATTGCTCCTGACTTTGAAGCTTAGACGAGTTACACAGAAACCCATCAAGAGGCAACAAAACCATCACCCTGTATTTTTATATACTTTAAGCCAGGCATACTCAAGACACGTGTTAACGATTGAGCCCAGTTAAGGTAAGCCATACTCAGAGACATGCCGCTTTCCTTAGCCGCCGCCAGCCCGAGGCCTCTCTCCTGTGAAACAACAGGCCTGTCCTGAAGCCATGAACAAAACCCTTCCTCCACCAGATCCTGCAATCCCTGAGGAGCTGGAAGTTGCATGAAAACACCCAGCGGTTCCTGATCCCACTGGCTTTTTTATCCCTGCTAAAAATGCATACAAAAAAATTAAAAAACAAGGACAAGAATCCCACTTAAACCCACTTTGCCATGACAGCTCACTGCAAGGAGCACATGGCAGCGTTCACTGTTTCAGCAGCGACAGGGTGAAACCTGCTGACAGAATTGATCTTTAAATCGGCATGTGCCGACCAAGTGGCTGACTGCAGCGCGTATGTGACCTCTGGCAGGTACAACCCATGCCCTGGGACACGCCAGTGACACTCCCTCCTGCAGGAGGGAAGGAGATGATCACCACACACCAGAGACCTCTGGTCTAGGCCACCCTCTCAGAGTGTTTCTGTGAACGGCCTGAAGTCACTTCCCTCTCCCCCCACAACGTGCTGGACATGCAAAAGGATGGCCTGCAACCCAGGACCCTATTTTCTGAGGGACAAGGCCACCGAGATGTCTTCCTAGTGCCAGCTGGAGGCTCCAGCCCTGCTGCAGGAGATGCTCCCACCTTCCCACCGGCCCAGGGGCTGCGTGGGGCACAGTGCCACCAGTGAAGAGATGGGTCCCAGGAGGCAGGGCAGGAACAAAGACCTCCCTCAGCAACCCCTGAAGCAATGCAGTAACGTTTCACACCATGCTCAATTCATGGAGCTGTAAAATTCGAGATGAACCATATTGGCTCCATCCCCCCTCTATAACAGCAGTGCTGTCAACAGAAACACACATGGGGGAGTCTCTCCACACCAGAGCTCCCAGTAACCCAGTTGTGCCGGGGCTGCAGCCATTGTCCTGCCTACACGGTTCTGTTGTGGGCTTTCCCCACACCCGTCACTCGGCTTGAAAAAAGGTCCTCAAGTTCGCCAACACCGTGTTATCCAAGGTCAGCAAAATAAGGGGCTATGCCGCTGCCAACACCCACATTCACGCGGCTCCATATGCAGGAGCAATAAAAAGGTTTCACAATCGTCGACGGCATCTTCCCCCGAGCCTGCGGCACAAAAGCAGCTGCAAACCGGAGAGCAGCTGACTCGGAGCCCAGCTGAGCTGCTGCTCCGCCGGCGATGCAGCTCCAGCTCCTGACACATTTAACCATAATTACATGGGTCAGATCGTCTCTGCCTCGTCACGCCAGTGAAGGGACAGCCGCCGCACGCCCTGCTCTGCACTCACACCGCCAACAACTGGAAGAGTTATCTCACTTTAGCAAAACATACACACACCCAGAACCGTTTAGAAATATCCTCAAGTGAAAGCCTTGAGGAATTTAATCTATGTAACTTCTCAAAACCAAACAAAACCAAACAAAAAAACCCCAAACCCCTCAAAGGGACTGACTCGATCGCTGCCTTTAAATATTTCCACAGGGAGTAGAAATTTGATAATAGATGGCTCTTGAGGCTGGCAGAGAGGGGTATAATACCATCCAACAGCTGGAACTTGAATTCAGAAAAATGTAAGACAGAATTAAAGAACAATTTCTGCAAGTGTGCAAGTAATTAGCCATTGAAACAAGTTATGGGGAACTAATGGATTGTCTATTATTGACTTAGACCCAAAAAAGGACTAAATAACATCTTAAACTGTAGGTTCATCACCGCAAGCCCACAGCCTTCACTGTGAAGGTCAGCTGAGATGATTTCTGCCTCCCGATCTGGCAATAAGATTAGTTTATAAACTGAGTAAGAAAGTAACAGATGCAAACAACCAGGGAAGCCCTGGGGCAGAATTAAGAAACAGAACTGCCTCATTTCCTTTAAACTGCCAAAAAAATTAATCATGCCACCTTCTTCTTTGTTATGCCATTTCGGGGAACCACACATCGTACATTTATATCTGAAGTTCAGCTACCGGGGCAGCCAAGCACCAGTTCAGCAAGTTCAGTCTGAGGGGACAGGGAAGAGGAGCACAACCTCCATTTACCTACGCAGTACGTTCCTGCACAGGATGCTACCTCATGGATAACAGGCCAGCTCTCTTTCGCGCTATCTGGCTGGCAGCTTGCTTTCAGCTCTACAGTTGTAGAGGTGATGTTTGTAGAAAAGTGCAATAGCCTACTGCCACATGCTGCTAATTTGGGAAGAAATACACATACACACGCGCCTGTGTTTTTGCTATGTGCATATTAAATGTATATAATACATTAAATACACAATACATATATATTAATATGTGTGAATACAAACTAAAATATATACATATTATGTAATGCATACATAAATACAAGTATATATCGCTATCTATAAATAATGCACATCAATATATAATGTGTATATATTTGCAATGAAATCAAAATGTGCACCACCTGTACCTTTCACCATTCACCTACAGCTTAGGTGCTTGTTTACAGCAGTTCAGCTGCCTAGCTTGCACATGTGGCCTGCACACAGCCTTCCTATTTCTAAAGTTATACTCAAATCTTCGGGGGGTGGGGGCGGGGCGGGGAAAAAGGGCAAAAAAAGCAGGCAGAAGTGAGAGGCAGGCTTCACGCCGCCTCCTGGGTAGATGAAACATCAGCCTGAAGTCACGGGCGCTGCTGCATGCTGCTTTGCTCCATGAGACGCAGCAGAAGCATACGCGTACACATGACGAGCTTCTCCATTCATCGCCAGATACGGCATTCTTCAGCCTGGCCCAGCCTTGCCTTAAGCAAACAGGAGTCACAGTTCATGGGGTAAAACAGAGCTGGAACAAGGGAGAATGCATGCAGCACTCCACGCTATTTGTTTTACTTTTATGTAAATACTTTAACAGCAGTGATGGTTTTATTTGAAAAGTCAGGACTTTGTAAGGTACAAAGATACTTATAAGC